TGTTTCAGGGAAGCCACCTCCATAGAACTGTCAAACAGCAGCCCAGGCTTTATTGGATGCTACTTGTCTCTTCTTTTGCTATGAAAATGAGATTTTCATAGCCATTTTTCAAAGGGCATTGTCTTCAATAAATTGCCATGGTTATTTCTTGTTTTTGCTTTGTGGAATTATTATTGTTGTTGTTAATTTGCCTCCACTGTTCTTGCTAACAGAAAGAGTCTGTAGGCTGATCTTAGATATGGACATATTGGGATTCTGATATTTCTATATCTATGTACGTGCTATAGCAGTGATGGCGAACCTTTTAGAGACCGAGTGCCCAAAACCTGCCCCCTGCCCTCGCTCCGCCTCCCGCCCTGCCTGCTCCGCCCCCACCTGCTCCCTGCTCCACCCGCCCACAGGGCCATACACTGCCTCAATGGCCTGCCGTAGCAGATCACCCAGATAGCCCTGCAGCACCATGGCAGCCACGCCCTCCGCCTACACCCCGCAGCATCATCTGCACGCTATGGAGCACAAGGGCGGAGTCTTGTCCCTGCTGCCCAGCTATGTCCTTGGCTGTGTTGCTCCGTGCAGGCCATGCCAGGGGGCGACTCTCCTCCAGGGGGGCTTCTGGAGAGGAGGGGGCTGCAGGGGGAGATAGGCCTGGGGCAATGTCGCGCGTGCCCACAGGGAGGGCTCTGAGTGCCGCCTCTGGCACGCGTGCCATAGGTTCGCCACCACTATACTATAGCAAAAGAGCTATTATCTAAGATTTAACTAAAGGAAGAGAGCCCAGTATGTTTTTGCAGTTTGAATGGAATGGTGTGAAATGGGAATAGGAAGGTCCGGCTTTGACAGGCAACCCATTCCCATTCTGGAATACGTTAGAATCTGTCCATCTGGTCTGGTCATCGAGAGAAGGTCTTCTGAAAATTCCCTCCCTTTGTGAGGTCCACAAGGCAGGAGGAAGACAACAGAATGTTTTTGGTATAGACCTCACCTTGTGGAATACTCTCCCCCCCCGCCAAAGTACAGCCCTTTCTTGCTACAATCCTGGAAATAGATTTAAACCAGGGTTGTCAAACTGCCAGCCCATGAGTTGGTTGCATAATGCAGAAGCGACACATCATGTGATGTGGCAAGTTTGACACCTGTAATTTAAACTATTTCATTTTAACATAGTTTTAATTCCAGCTGATTCAAACTGTGGGCACATTTCTTGGGTTTAATAAGTTCTGTGAAATGCATAAACAACTACATTCCCTCTCTTAATCTCCTACCAATAAAACTCCCTAGACTTTGAGTGATGCTTTGGGGGCTTTTCCCAGGAAAGCCACAGGTGGGGATGGGAATGATTCCTGTTCCTATTGGTAACTCTCTCTCCCTCAAATTTAGGCAAAGCACAGTGATTTCAGGTTGGGGATGTAATTATATGCATGTATAATAAGAAAATAGCCATTGAAACATGGTATTTTGCCACTGAATTTCAACAAGACTGTCTTAGGGTGATAGGATATACACACACACTGCAAGATGTCCACTCAATAGAGAATCATCTCTGAATAAATGTTTTTGCTTCTGATGATTTTGAAGGGTTTTAATTTTCTGGGTATGCAGTCCTTGAAGTGATACTATCCAAGATGAACCAGTAACTGATTTAATGTATAGTAATCTCATATATTCTGCTGGAACAGCACAGTGGCCTAGAAGTGGAGCTCTTACCTCATAATCAGAATGCTGTGAATTTGATCCTAGATAGTGGCAGATATTTCTCTCAGTGGGCGCAATGAGTAATTGCTGTGAACTCCACGTAGGCATCAGGAAGGGATTCGTGGCAATAAATGCTCAGCTCAACTCAGTCGCCCCAACTCCACCCTGATGCATGGGTTTATAGGGTTGTTAAAAGAAAAAAACTCATATATTCTGCTGAATTATTGTATCACATAGAAGGCTGATTCTGTGATGAAGTCCATTTTATCCATGGATGACAAGGCAGTTTTCTTACGCTTTCAGCCATTTTACATTTTTTAAAAATGGCTCCATTCGTGGGTTGTGCCATGCCATAATTATATGATACATGCCTTTTCCCCTGAAAGCACCTTGCTGATTTTTACACTCTGTTTCCATGAAAGCAAAGTAGACAAGACGGTAAAGGATTGGTTTCTGGCAACCTGAAATCTTTTCTTCCTGTCCCTGGGTCAACAAGGAGCTATGGAGTATTCAGTGGAATAAAGGTGGCTGGAGATCACCTTCTACTTTGAAATAGCCAAGGACTCCTGGTTTTGGGAAGAGAGGAAGGAAGGCTTAGGAATGGAATCAGGGAAAGCAAGGGATAATTGGGGTGACCAAAGTTGCACAGGAAATGGAGATTAAATACTATTAACAGATGTTAGGAAAACTGAGATAAAGAAAATGGGTATGTGACATTTTGGGTATGCAATACGTTTGCCATGGATAGTGATGAGAGTGAAAGAGAACGTGAGATTGAATGAATAGGTCTTACATCCTGGGTCTATGAAAAAAAAAAGAGTTTGTGATCATTGTAAGGGAATCCTGAACAGAAGATAGGGCTCAATTATATGCTCACAAAATAAATTTCCATTGGCTGTTTCCAACATCAATCATTAGATATTAAGTGTTCTTTCATGACCTTGTGTAATTACTTTAAAAGTCATCTTGATCTATCAACATATCTTGTGATGATGAGAAGGTGGCAGTTATGTGTTACATGAAGAATGTAACACATGGTGCCTTCTGTCATTCCTTTTAATATAAAAATATAGCAGAGATGCAAAATCTATAACCTGTCAAATGTTGGCTTCCAGATTCCATTAACCTCGGGCTGTATATTCAGGAGGGATGAAGGTTGTAGTCCAATAATATGAGAAAGATCGCAGGTCTTCAGTCACTGAATATGTTACACTATTTTAAGCTTTGCAAATTTCAGCAGGAGTTTAGCCTGCTTCTGTTGAATGTTTAAATGTATCTTATTATGGGGCTTCAATGTTAACATTTCCAGGTTACACAAGAAGTATTTATCCTTTTTGATAGTATGTTTGCTTCAGCATTTATGTATATGAAAGGAAAATGACCATGAATTTTATCCTGTGCCAGAAAGAAGAATCAACAGAAAAATAATTTAAAATGTTACCCCATTGAGAGTGGTCAACTTTAGCTGAAACCAATACTACAGCTTTCCCCATATCTAATAGAAGTAGCAATAGCACTTACACTTATATACCGCTTCACAGTGCTTTACAGCCCTCTCTAAGTGGTTTACAAAGTCAACATATTGTCCCCAACAATCTGGGCTTCATTTTACTGACCTCGGAAGGATGGAAGGCTGAGTCAATCTTGAGCCGGTCAGGATCAAACTGCTGACTTTCAGCTGAGTTAGCCTGCAATACTGCATTCTAATCACTGCATTGCTACGGCTCTAATAAATGTGAATGTTGACACAGTTGTATATGCATGCATAGTATGGGTATGTGTGGGTGTATCTCTCCGTCCCCCTCCCTCCCTCCTACACTCTAGAAAGAGCAGGGTCAAGAGAAAAAATATCCATAAAATTAATATGTGCTGATAAAATACAATTCCCTATAAAATAAGATACTATATTAATAGTATTAATTAATGTCTACTAGCATATACCGCTATACTCTTTCACACAGAGACATCATTGCATACAGGAACAACATACACAAACACAAGCATTTCAATTTTCTTTCCAGGAGAAACGGGGAAAAATGAAGATGGGGAAGGGGAAAAAAAACAGTTATACTGTAAAGAGAAGAATAAAAATGGATGAAGATAACCCAAAAGCCCTAGTTAGGCATGAATTACCTTGAAGGGTAAAAATCTACTAGGCGAGCAACCATCCCAATTAGGGTTAGTTTTTAAAAATCAAGATTTTGCAAAAGAAATGTCGTCTTCCGCCTGTTTGTTTTTATCAGTGTCTATCTCTGAATGAAAGAGAATCCTCTCCATTTACAGATAATTCATGGAAAAAAGTCTTCATATTGGGCAAATAAAGCATAACTCATCTTTACAGAGTTAGTTTACATTTTGTTTATCTGATCAGCCTGTTGGCTAAACCCAAATTGTAAAGCAAATCAGCAAGTCCGAACAATTAGTATTAAAATTTATTTAAAACCAAAATAAAACAACAAAAAAAAAACCCAGCACATTCCCCAACCAGAATTTTCATTCAGAAAAGGCGATGGTCAGGGCAACTTACAGAAGTCAAGGAAAGACTTCACTCATTGACACCAAAGGTATAAGATGTAACGCTGGCTTTCTCTTAGATATTTGAAGATGCCAATAAAATACTAAAGGAAAGAGAGGGGCTTCTTAATTGGATAACATCACTTGGTGACTTGGCGAGTAGAGAGACATTAGGCAAGCATTAGGCATTTGGCATGTAGACATTAATCAGCGCGTTTTGTTGATGGATTACTGTACGGTATTTGCTACACAAAAACTGTTGGCAGTTTTTAGGGTCAAATCTCCATTATGGGTCTGTGTTCGTATTCTCACATAAGAATTATCTTGGATGTAAAAGCTAAATCTATGTGGCATGTCTATAGGCTATGTTTTCTCAATCTTTGATTGGCAGAAGAACTTGAAAGAAGTTGAAATTATACAAGATCCTAGTGTGTACATTAGTTTGATCTGATTTGTCTCTTCTGTCGCTACTCCTGTGCCAATCAACATAATGTAATATGTACTCTGAAACTCTGATTAGGTTGGATTTCATAGTTATATTCCTTTTTGGCAGCCCCCTCTGTTCAGGGTGACCATCATCCGCTCAATATGTAAGAGGCCCCAGTATTGAGAGAAGAGAAAAGAGAAACATGTTGCTTGGAATAATATGTAATCATCTTTGAGACCAGGATGATGTCATTTAGAGTAGCATGTAAATTGGACCATGCTGACAATGATTGTGTGTGTGTGTGTGTGTGTGTGTGTGTGTGTGTGTGTGTGTAGGCAGGGTGGTTTAGGGGAATGGGAGACAGAATGGTAACGTTGATTGGTTGTACACCATATATTGTTGCACCCACTGCTTGTATAGCACCCGCATGAAGTATACACATTTAACAACTGGAGAGCAAGCCATCATCACTGGCAACTTACACAACACACTTCACTGAAGGATACCACCAATCTTCAAAAAACATTTAGGGTTAGTTTTGGACTAATGAGGGATCAGAGTTTCCCCACCACCAGCCTAAAATGATAGGTTATCAGAACATGACAAGGGATATTTATATATATAAGTAAGACTTCGCTAACGGAAAAACTCTTTAAAGAATATTTTAACTGGTAGCTTTAAAATTTCTCCATTGACATTTAAAAAAATGAGCTCAGGCCATCTATCCTGTTAAGGACAGCAAGAGGATTATTTTGTGGAAGCAAAGACCTGGAAAAGGGTCGAATCTAAAAAAAGTGGTAAAACAGAGATCTTTGTCCAGAGAATATACAAATAGTCCGTTCTTAGCAACCACAATTGGAACGAGCAATTCTGTCGCAACTCCTCTAAAGAACAAGAAAGAAAAAGTGTAAAAAGAGAAACTCCTTTCACACTGCCACAGTTTTCTTTTTGTATTTTGCTATTTGAAATGTCATCCTTTGCGTTTGTTTTTATACTTTTCATTTACAATTCTCAATAATTTGCAAAGCTAAGTAAATCACATGATTGTGATAATGCACGACTGGGTATTTGCTCTGGTCATTAAGCGAAACCTCACGTGACCATGACTTAATGGTTTTACTTCCACGTTCCTCTGCTGGTCGCAAGCTAATTGTGAAGTAAATGTGAGGAGACAGGAAAGCATTTTGAATGCTTTGCCAAGTACAACATTTTCTGTAAGCTCTCAACACATTGAAGCAAAGTGTTTTACAATTCAAGGCTTGCTTGCTTGTTTGTTTTAAGTGAACCACTCAAAAAATACAGCCCTACTCTGTTTGGAACTTAAAATGAAATAATCTTAAAATACTACCTTTGAACAAAATTAAGAGTATGTATCTACAATGTCTGCTGAGCGTGGCTGTAGAATTATTTTACGTAGTAGAGAAAATTGGGTGGACCTTAACTTTGACAATTCTGAAAATGGAAATAGCAGGGAATATAAGATGGTATCTGTCAGTGAGAAGCAATCTGCACATATTATCAAAAATAGTTAGAATGATCAGAGTGCTGGGCTTTACCAGTTAACTTGGAGACAGGAAGCTATATTCTGAGTATATCTCCATATAAAAGATGCTTGGTATGGGGTTACATAATGCCTTGGAACAGCAAAAGGTTGAACCAAAACCAGTTTACTTTTTTAAATTGTGGATGAACATTCAGAACACATTCTTCCTTGTTTGTCTTTAGATGTGACAGAATTCCATAGGTTCTTCCCTCAGTCCCCAATCTTTGAAAACTATCCTGAGGATTTCCCTCCGAGAGTGGTATCATTTTTTTGGGTATAGTTAAAACCCTTACCAATGTGTTTAGTCTTTGCATCTGATTTTGTAGGGAATATCTGTACCCCTCTTGTGACTTTGACTGATGGAAATTACAGAGAAGGCCAGCACCTACAGGACCCTCAGAGTCACAGTTTGAGACACAACTATATAAGTTTAAAAACTCCGAACAGCAAAATCCATGCAGAGAACAATTCCGAATAATCTTTTAAAGGCTCTTGCTCTTTTGTTTTAATTAATGCAGGAAAAAACCCCCTTAAAAGTGGAAAATTCATTTAATTCTAGGGAGAAGGAGAATAGGTGCGGTGTGGTCTGGAGATTTCAAATTCCTGTAGCCTGAGATCAGCCTTTTGACTAGGCTAAAACTTCCCACAGAGAAGGACCTGTTGGTACTTTGAAGTATTCTGGTAACTAGAACACAGCCATCTTTTGTTAGTGTTGATTTTACAGGAAGGTAGGAGCTATTGTAGAGCTATTGCTTGCTGACTGCGGCGCCACTTCTTGGCATTACACAAAAATAAAACCCAAAGGTGAGGGTGTAAAATTATTACAGTCAAAGATGGAATGAGGATGAACCCCTCAAAGCTCTACAGTCCTATTTGTCCTTTGAAATTCCTCCAGCTCCAGTTTTCTGCTCATGGCTAACTGCAGTTCCTGCTTGATCACTTCAATCTGCTTCTCCAGTTCTGAGAGTTCCTGGATCACTGAGGTCCTAGCAGTATTCAGAGCTTCTGCTTTCCCATTGGTAGTCCCTGGAGAGTCTCTTTTCAAGGCGGGAAAAGCTATATCATGCCGCAGTTGTTTGAGCATTACTTCACTGGGTTTTTCAACACTGCAGACGTATTTCCTTCTATGGCAGTTGCCAGGGCTAGTGGTGTTCCATACTGAAACCTGACTGTTTCTGGGACTGGACCTGCAGAGGGATGTCCACACAAGGAATTAGGAAGTCATCATATATTTGTACTTACAGATTGAGGTAAACTAAGAGAAGGAAACATCTATGAATTCCATGACCTCTTAGACCAGGGGTAGACAAGCTCAGTTCTTTTATGACTCGTGGACTTCAACTTCCAGAATTCCTGAGCCAGCCATGCCGGCTCAGGAATTCTGGGAGTTGAAGTCCACGAGTCATAAAAGAGTGAGTCAAGCTTGCCTACCCCTGTCCTAGACCTATCTTTGCAGCTTCCCCTCTAGCTATGTTTCTTTATTCTATTTCAATTTTGAATTGCTTGGAGCTTGTCTAATTGGATCCAACCCCATGTCCCAACTGGAGCCCAGTACATTTTCAGGCTGGCCAAATAACAAAACAGTCATAAATCTATTGCCGTTTTATGAATAATCCTCTTGATTGGACAAAAACGCCATCCAGCCCGGTATCTTGCTTTCCAAAATATTCCTCAGAAGCTTCCAAGAGGTCTCCTAGCAGCTGTATTCTTGCTCTTTGTCTTTCTAGTAACTGGTGCAAGAGGCTAAATTATAGAGGATCTGGCCTTCTAGCCAAGTTTTAATTTGCAAAGGTAGGCAAGGAGAATGATAGAAACAAGCTTGAGAGGAAACTGCTCTTCTAGAGGCCACTAAGCTATATCTTCATCAGCAGGGGTTAGCTGGAAATTGCACACAATCTCTAGAAAGCCATGGTTTCCTCAACGTGTGTTGTAGTTTTGTAGCTAGACTAGACTGAGGTAGGATTCAAGAATTTTATTTCTTTATTTAAACACTACATCTGGTGTTATCTTTTTCTCTATGTAGGGAATTTTGTCTTTTTATTTTGGTTGTTTTTTTAAAAAAAACAGTGCATCTCTACATGTATGGTATTGGGGAAAAAACAGCTTTCTGAAAAGTGACGATTGAAGAAAGCATCTTGGTCATGTATCTCAGGGACAGCAATTGTGTTTCAGCATTCCTCATTTCTGTCTTTCACACAATTATCTAAAAGCATCGATCAGAGTTATTGAGGAGCAGAAAGTCATTCTTTTCACCTTCCACTCTAATGATTTGCTATCGCTGTATCTATGGTTTGGCAACTTGGGCGCAATTAGATTGAATAGGTATTAATAATAATAATAATAATAGTAGTAAAGTTGGAAGGGACCTTGGAGGTCATCTAGTCCAACCCCCTGCTCGGGCAGGAAACCCTACACCATTTCGGACAAGTGGCTGTCCAGTCTCTTCTTAAAAACTTCCAGTGTTGGAGCATAGAAATACAACATGGTAGACATGTTTTGATGTTGATACTCAACCCTTCTTTCTCCAGGGTTCCTGGCCCCAACATTTCAAATCAAAAATGTATTTTTATCAAAAACCATTTGGAAAGTTACTTTCACCCAGGGATTTAGTTCTGTCAGATTTCTAACAATTGTTTTATGGCCAGACTAGGCTTATTACAAGGGACATGAGAACACCCAACAAAGAAGGATGTTTGGAAAAATACAGGCAGGCATGAGTATTGTTATTTGTGTCACACAGAATATCAGTAAGCTAAAAGCACAACTGTCAAAGCTGATGCAGCATCACAGAGTCAGCTTGTAAATTGGCTTCAGAGAGAAATTCCATAATGGATTTAAAAACACAGTGGCACTGTGCTAGATAAGGATGTCAGATAAATTGTAAACTGGCTTTGAAGAGGCAAAGTCTAGTGGTGAAGGCTAGAAACTAGGACTGTGAGTTTTAGTACTGCCTTAAGTATGAAAGTATCTTAGGTTAGTCACTCACTCTCAGGCCAACCCACCTTACAGGATTGTTGTGGGGAAAATAAGAGAAAGGGGTATGTTTGCCACCTTGAGCTAAAAATAATAAAGGTGGGATGTAACGTAACGTAACCAGTGGTAGGATTCAAATATGTGAACAACTGGTTCTCTGTGAGGATGCCGCTTCCGGAAGTCCATTCTGGGCCTGGGCAACAAGAAATTAGCTACCGGTTCTGTGAAGTGGTGCAAACTGGCTGAATCCCTCCCCCCCCCGAACATAACTAAACGTAATGTAACAACACATAAATTAACATAACATAACATAACACAATGTAACATAATGTAACATAACGTAACATAATGTAACATAACATAATGTAACATAATGTAACACAACCCCTATTTATACAGTAATAAGAAAAAGTTCAAAGGGAAATAGATTTATCAGGGAATGGTGTCTTCACCTATCTGTCATTATGCTCTTAACACCTTGCAACCTCTAACAAGTTATTCCTAAAAGATTATGGTTTCAAACAATGTGTTAGACTAATTTTTCTCAATATTGGCAACTTTAAGATATGTAGATTTCAACCCCAGAATTCCCTAGCCAGCCATATGGTTTAGGAAACTCTGGGAGTTGAAATCTATATATCTTAAAGTTGCCAAGATTGAGAAACATTGTGTTAGACCATAGTAAATCAGTAAATGGGAGAGGAAATATTAATTCAGGGGAAGGATATATAGTTAAAGTCATTATTTCAATATAGCTGAAGTGGATCTTTCTGATATATGACTCTCTTGACTGCAAAATAAATAAAACTTGTACTTTCCTACAACATTTCACTGTCTTATACAATACAGGTGAAGCGGATCTTTCTGATATGCGATTCTCTTGACTCCCAAATAAATAAAACTTTCCACTTTTCTACAATGTGTCGACTGCATTATACAATGTGTAACTACATTATACAATTCTTTTCCTTTAAAACAAAACAAAACAATGTCTGGGGAATCTTTATCTACAGATGCATCAACTAACAGCAGATTAAAAACTCATTTTGCTTACTTCTTTTCAACTGGCTTTGTTTTAAGCTGGTGCTTGTCTTCCGTAAATGAGTTGTTTAGAGCGCGGTGTAGTCGCTAGAGGAAAAACCCAAAATAATTAGTCAGAAGGGAAACTGTACTTGCATTTTAGGTAGATCGAATGTAAAACAGAGACTCTGTAGGGAATGCAGTATGAAAACAAAACTGTTTGCCCAATTTGTCATTGTGACTGAATTTTGTATCTTTATGACAAATCCAAAATTTCAGCTCCTCGTATTTGCTAATACTACACTTTAAAGTGAAGGGCTACAGATTAGATGGTTGCATGCAGATTCAATCCAGAGGTTTCCTAGGACAGAACTCCGGGAGGCAGACGCAGAGTTAGAGATTCAACCATACAGCCAGAAATGTTGCCAGTCAAGGTAACTAACTAACTGTAGGTGAAATGGGCCAATAGGCTAATTAAATAAACCAATTCTGTGTTTTAGATCAGAAATGGGAAAAATTAACGATATTAATTATATGGTGCCTACACACAAAATAGGAAAGGGGGGAAAAGGCTATATTTCAGCTGTGTTTGCAGGGCTGAAGGTTCCCAATCTAGATGACCTTGGGACTGAATGTAAGAATGGCCTTTTATGGCTGGGACAGAGAAACATTAGAGAATAACCACATTGCAATTGCAATTATCTCTTCCTCCATATCATAGAGACTATGGGAAAGAGGGGAGTCCAACCCAGAAGAACATTCTGATGGCAGACATTTATGGCATTCTTCTTTTTTTAACTCAATAAATGTTAAAATGTGCACAGAAAACAAAATGGTGGATAGCTAAAAAGGATAAAGCAAGAAGGGATCCAAGTATGGATCATAAAAGAGTCATAAAAGAGCCAAGGTTGACTACCCCTGCTGTAGCTCATGCTGTGCATGCATCAGGAAATTTACCATAGAGATATTGATCCTCAGGGTGAACATAAGCTATCCGGCATCTTGAAAGCTTGAAAATGTTACTTTGAACTTCTATACTGAATGCATAAATTTATGATAATGTTCACAAATTAGTGCCCTTTTCATTTTAATGCATATTATTTATAATATGAAAACAGATAAAAACTTCGTTCCTTCTGTCCATGTTGGAGAAATAGAATTATGTTACTGTAATAAAATGGATGTAATATAGTTGGCATGCAGCTTTTGAGACACTGTGGTTGAAATCCAGAAAATATTGTCCTATCTGTAATTGCTAGATACTGCAAGTAATCAGAAACCTTATTTGGAAAATCAGAAACTAAAGATACATGATTTTTCTGCATTAGTATGTGCAACTCTTGTTAATAATCAAGTGGCTCCAAATTTCTTGAGAAAGTTCCTTTGCCTGCCAATTATATGATATCTGAGTCACTTTTCCTAGAACTACATAATGTATTTTTCTCAACAAACAAAAACTAGGATAATTTTTAGATAGTATTGTTATTTATGTTTTTCAAGAGTTAATTGGAAAGATGCATTAAAAAATAAAAATGAATGAATGAATGAATGAATGAATGAATGAATACTATTATTTCAGATTTTGCTTCCTAATCACAGTTGGGATGTGATAGGATCTCAAGAAGAGGCCTGCAAATGCCATGTATTCAATCTAATAATTTCAGCAGGACTTCGGTTCCAATCAGTTCAGAATCTGATCATTCCCTTTGAGAGACTTACTTAGGCATATGTACCTGACTTGTATGGAGCCAATATGTCATCTTGGATTTCTTTTTAATTTGTGGTATCATCAGTCTGTATACGATATGTTCTCCGATGGTAGTGAGAATAGACAGACCAAATCCAACACACAGCATCACAAACAGCCCGGAAAAATGCTTGATGCCCATTTGCAGGGTCTGTTAGAAAAAGAAAAGGAAATCCATGTACAAATTTATAAATATAAATAAAATGGGAACACACACACACGCACACCTACACACACACACACACACACACACACACACACACACACACAGAGAGAAAGAGAGAGCAAAATTGACAATTATTTTTATACAGCCCTTCCACTTGATTTTTCTTCACAGGAACTCTTCTGGAATTCATTTGATGCTATATAATGCGCTGTAGCCAAAAATGAAAATTTACAGAATCGCCATGACACAAAAGAGTTTGAGTTGCATGAGATATGGGATTAAAGTTGGTTCTACCAAGTTATTGGGACCCAACCTATTGGCAAAGTTCAAACATAAAGTTGCATACTCAGTGATAAGGACTGGTTGCCTTTCGGCTTACTTGGTAGAAGTGAGAGAGGGCTGTGAACTGCTTGCAAAATTTTAAGTACAGGTAATTTTTGATTTATGACCTGTTCAAAGTTCTGATGGATCTACCTGGGGGTGTTTATCACCAGATTTAAAATTCTGACAGTTGAATTTCTCCATAAGTCACATGACCACAGTTTGGATGTTTGGCATTTACGGCCATTTGCATTCCACAGTCATTTGACTGCACTTGACGATGGCGTTGCAGAAAACCAGCCCACAGCAAACCATTGGTTCATTTCATAACTTAATGACCACAGTAATTCACTTAATAATCACTGCAAAATAGGTTGTATAATTGGATCAGTTATGTGACCCAACCCTCTTCACAACTGTCTCAAGTTACAGCTGTGATGGACGGGCTCCATTACAGTTATAACTCAAGGACTCCCTGCAACTCAAAATTCCCTGAAGTATCACTACTCTGAACATCATGAGTCTTTACTCTGGGGAGAAAGTTAACTCACCAGCAGACTTTAATGATTTCAAGAGGAGTGCTAATAACAAAGAGCTCTCTCTCTCTCTCTCTCTCTTTTTTTGGGGGAGGAGAACTCCTGAAATTTAGACCTAGCCTTCTTTGAATCTATCTAACTTGATTAAGAAATCTGGGATCCTGAGAAAAGGAGTCTCAGAGATCATTTGACAAACATGCATTCATAGATTTGTGAGCCAGAACTTGGATCTACAATTTTAAACAGACTTATTCTAAGGGGGCAGGTGCAGATCTTAAAACTGCCACCCTGGCAATGAAAAAAAAAAATTAAGTTGCATTGCTTACTAGTTGTAAGACTTAGCTGAGCATCTGATTAATTCATAATTATCTCTTCATGGGAATAATGAATGATGTGAATAAGACATTTAGAAAATATTCCCTGCACAAGCCCCTTCCACCCCACCATACAAGGACCATCTCAAGCAATTAATCCTCACGTTCATTAGTCAGGTTGAATTAAGGCATCAATATACAGCAGCATTACATGAAATGGGTAAATGGGCTTTTAACTGAAACATTTCAATGAAATGGTGTTTGGTAAGCCGATATTTGATTTGCATCGAATTAACCTTCTTCCTTTTCATAGGTGCAATGACAAAATACAAATGAAATATGTCGTAACAGGTCCTCATTAAATCTTATTATTCAGAGATAAAATTTCAGGTATATATATATATATATATATATATATATATATATATATATATATATGTATATGTATATGTATATGTATATGTATATGTATATGTATATGTATATGTGTGTGTGTGTATATATATATATATATATATATATATATATATATATTCAATAATGATGGTGAAAATGCGACTCCCGGGCATAATTATAAATGGAATGAATAAAGCGCGTTCACCAGGAGAGTTTAAAGTTAAAATACTTTAATTAAAGTATTTTACTATATTAAAAGGTTGCCAAGCTTTCGTTGGGAAAACTCCCCAACATCTACACACATATTTAAGAGGAAGAGAAAATAATTACAACACCATGGCTTGGAAAAATATGACACAAGTAACCACAATTTCAACAGATTAACATTGGAAAGCTTCTGAATTGTTGGTATCTTGCAACAAACTCCCCTTTTATGACCTTGTAATCTCTTAATTCAGGGTAGAGTTGGGGCAACTGGATGGAGCTGAACGCAGTTCAAGGTTGAAATTAGGTGTCCTTGGTGCTCTCTGAGCTTAGTTGTTTTCTAGCAGACATTTCATTACCCAAATTAGGTAACATCATCAGGGCTAGTGAGGAGTGGTAAGGCACTTTACTAGCACTAATGATATTACCTAGTTTGGATAATGAAAAATCTGCAATAAAACAAGTAAGTTTAGAGAGCACCAAGGACACCCAATTTCAATCTTGAGCTACACATTTTCTTGTTTATCCTTTACCTTTTGGGTAAGTTCAGCAATCTCTCACTCGGTTGTGCTTGTAAAATTTCTTTTTTCCAAAATGGCTACTTTGAGATCTGTAATGGAGGGTAAATGCTTTGCTATTACATTGCCCTTGATTTGAGTCCCAGTACCAAACTTGTTCCATTAATTCTTTTATATAAGCCTTGTCCGATTTATCATACTGAGAAACCAAAGGTTACCGGAAGATGATAGCGTGCATATCACATAAGAGGAAGAGCATGAGAAGCACCTCTAATCTTGGGCATGTAATTTTTGTAGCCTGTGATAATACTGTTGGTACAGGCATGGGGGCAAAACAGATATCTGAGTTTGTTTCAAGGTCTGGTTTCCATGTTAATGTCATTATCCAGTTGTTTCTTGTTGCTTGCTGGAAACTGATCCAGTTAAATGGTTGCTTGTATGCAAGAATGGGCCTGCCAGAAATTATGCAGAAAATGAGGAAACATTACTTTGATACTAGATCAGCTAAATATAGAACATAGAATCATAAGGCTAGAAGGGACCTCAGAGATCTTCTAGTCCTACCCAAGGCAGGAGATCATATACCAGTGGTGGCGAACCTATGGCACGGGTGCCAGAGGCGGCACTCAGAGCCCTCTCTGTGGGCACACGCACCGTCGCCCCAGTCTAGGCCTTCAGCTGGGTTTTATAAAACCTTTTCACTTTAGGCCTCCGCCGCCGTGTGCAAAAAAAAAAAAAAAGTTCAATCAGTCAATTTCAACTTCTTGCAGGAAAAAAAGAGATCTTGCAAAGTTGGAATTGATTGATTGAACTATTTAGTCCCACCCTGTGTGCACGCCCACCCAATTGGCCATGCCCACACAATTGGCCACACCCACCCGGCACTCGACAATGCATAAGTGGGTTTTGGGTTGCTGTTTGGGCACTCAGTCTCTAACAGGTTCGCCATCACTGTCATATACCATCCCAATCAAATGGTCTATTTTTGAAAACCTCCAGAGATGGAACATCCACAGTTCCAGGAAGAAAGCTATTTCCATTGAGTAATTGTTCTCATTTTCAGAAAATTTCTTCTTACTTCTTACTTCTAGATTGGATTTCTCTCTCTCTCACCACCCATTACTTCTTTCCTGCCCTCTGGTGCTTTGGAGAATAAGTCAAACACCTCTTCTCTGACAGCACCTTGTGTACTGGAGGATAGTAATCATGTCCCCCTCTAATCCTTCTCTTTGATAGGCTAGAGTAGTGATGGCGAACCTTTTAGAGACCGAGTGCCCAAACTGCAACCCAAAACCCACTTAAGCATCATCGGGTGCCGGGTGGATGTGGCCCATTGGGTGGGCGTGGCTGCGGTGGTAACAACAGACTGGGTGGAACTAAAAAGTTCAATCAATCAATTCCAACTTTGCAAGATCTTTTTTTTTCCTGTGAGAAATTGAAATTGACTGATTGATTGAACCTTTTTTTTTGTACACGGTGGCAGAGGCCTAAAGTGAAAAGGTTTTATAAAACCCAGCTGAAGGCCTAGGACTGGGGCAATGGCACGCGTGCCCACAGAGAGGGCTCTGAGTGCCGCCTCTGGCCCCCGTGCCATAGGTTCGCCACCACTGGGCTAGAGGTTAGGCAGCCTCAGCTATGAGCTGGAGATAACATGAAGGCAGTATCGATGGCAAAGAGCTAATGAAGAAACTCTGAGTTGCAATCAGAGGGATGTACAGATGAACCCCAGGAAAATTAACTCTTTAAATAGTACTTCCAAAAGTCAGCTGTTGCAAAAAGCTGGGAGAAAACTTCCCATGCATTAAATGCTGCACAGAATTCCTGATGTTATCTTATTTCATAGGACATATGAGAGAATTCCATGCCAAAATATCCCCAAAAGTTTGTTTAAACATGCACATGGACACAAATGAGATTTGGATCAAAACCAGGAAAAGAGGGCTAAATCTTTCCCATTCTAGAATTCTCGTCTGGAGGCTTATCCAAAATACAGAGCCAAAGTAATTGAATTTTGTCAATTTTTGACTTAGTCTAAATACGCAAAGAAAACACCTTTTAGGTGACACTAATAGGCTTCACTGAACAGAAACAAGCAAATGGGAAGTAACACCAGCAGATGCAGATCAATAATACTTTTTTTTTTTTTTTGCATTTTATAAGCTTGATTTTGGACATCTAATCCTGTTCACTGGCTGTATAATGAAGGCAGTGTTGAGAAAAGTTTTTAACTGAAAACTGTTCCTTTTATGCTAAGAAAAAGCAAATAAAATATGGCAGTTCTTTGATTAATTAAGTAATGTGTCTAATTACTCTTTTAATTAGCAGAGGAGAAAAATAATTAATCTGATGAATCTAACGACAAATCACAGCAAATGAACAATAAATCAAAACAGAGTGTCTATGATTTTTTTCCCTACAAGGATTACATCATAAACATTTTTCCTGATAAGAGGAACATTTCCATCTCTTAATCTTTTCAGATTATCTTCTTTTTTCCCCTTTTGCATCTCAAAGTTTTGGCAGCAGCATCTTCTCTTTTACAACAGATTTAAAGAGAACTGTAAGCACTGAATGTAAGAGAACAAAACATGCAGCTTTCAATTACAGGTAACTTTAATTGAATTCACATTGATGAAGCTCTTAGATGTTTTGATCACTTTCCCTGGAATGTGTTTAGAACAGGGGTGCCCAAGCCC